GAAATATCTACACTATGGAAAATTCGCAAGCTGTAGCTGAACGTGCAGAGGTGCTTGTTGTTAAAGGTTAGCTTCGAGCAGGTTCGGGTTCGAATGCCGTCAGCGGCAACATATAATTCTTATTATTTTTTTCTGTTTTTGATTTTTCTTAATCACGAAAAAGCATCTGTGAAGTGCAGCACCAAATTAAACCACGATGAAAATTTATTCAAGTTGAACATTTGAAGATACATTTCTAAAGCGGTTGTATCTGAATGTGCAGATATGCTTTCTGTTATTTGCTAACTTTCAGTTCAAATCCTGTCAGAGGCAACGTTTTAAAATGATAATAAAAATTTTTGTTTTGTATCTTTGAAACATGAAATAGCATATGTGAAGTGCAGAACATAAGCGTATTCAAACGAAAAAATTGTCAACCAGAAATTTTTTTAATGTAAACAGAAATGTGTTTAATATTACGAAAATCATGTTGAAAATATCAACCAAGGCATTGTTGATATAAACAAAAATCACTCTGATTCCTCGTGGGGCGCAACGCGAGCAATATGGGACCGCTTTAGGGAACTGTAGAGGGAAGCGAGACGTATTTGGCGCAATAAAAATAGAGGGACTGAAATACGTGAGTGCAAAGANCGAGACCCTTTAAAAACAACAATAGTGATCTAGTAACCGATAAAATAAAATTATATAGGGAAGACGCACGATCCCCCAGTTGATGATGATGGAGTCGATGTTCCAATCTGATGTGCTCTGTCCAATTCACAAGAAAGGCGAGCCCGCCATACGCGCCAACTAAAACGGGATAAACCTTACAAGGTCTTATCGAGCGTATTGTGTGAAAGGCTGAAGCCCACCGTCAACGAACTGATTGGGCCTTAGCAGTGTGGCTTTCGACCTGGAAAATCCACCATAGACCAGGTTTTCACAATACGACAAATCTTGGAAAATATCCGCGACAAATAGATAGACGGTGAGTCTATTTGTCGACCTCAACGCCGCTTTCGACAGCTCTAAAAGGAGTTGCCTAAACGACGCGATGTCTCCATCCTCGCGAAACAGATATGGCTGTGTTAAATGCCATTGAGCAGTATCGACAGCTCCGTCAGAATTGAGAAAGACCTCTCCGAGCCGTTTGATAGCAAAAGGAGTTTCAGACAGTGAGACTCTCTTTCTTTCTATGATTTCTTTAATCCGATGTTGGAGAAGATAATAAGAGCTGCAGAACCGAACCGCTCAAGAAGAATTTTTTACAAAAGCGTGCAATTGCTGACATACGCCGATGGCATCGAAATCATCGTTATCAGGAACCGCGAAGTTTGTTCCAAGCAAAGCGATTAGGTCTGTTGGTCAACGAGAACAAGGTAACAAAATAGACGGAAAGAAGGCCAATTGATACTATTACGAATACTGATGCGAAATAAAGTCGACTGACATTGTTACCTTTTCAAAAGCGAAATAAAATGCGGCGACATTATAGCTCTTTCAAACATTAAATTTGCGTAGTTTCCATTTGAAATTTTTGTTGATTTTATTTCTCTTTTGAAAAGGTAGTAACGTCAATTCATTTTATTCCGCATCACTATGTCAAATAGTGCCAATTTACGTTACTTCCGTTGATCTTGTTACCTGTCACCCGTTATGCATGGCATGATGAGCTGTATGAGCTTTACAACGACATGGAAATAGTTCAGCGAATTAAGATGCAGCGGCTCCGCTGTCTTATCGATGTCGTGGATTTCGACGCCCCAGCTCTGAGAGTATTCAACTCCGAACAAAAAATACGTAGAACCATCAGGAAAAGATTATTAAAAATTAACGCGAACTCTTAGGCACTTCAAATTTGCAAATATTTTTTCTTTTAGATTTGATTAAAATTAAAAATGTTGATAAAACTTCGTTGAACTTCCCTTATCTATACATATAATAAAATTATAACGGGGGTCCTTATTAGAGCAATAGAAGCCAAATGAACAATTTTAAGAATTTTGGTCTGTCATTCTGTTCGTTTTTCTGCCTGTCAGTATGTTTGTCCGCGCATCAATTGAAAACTAATGCATGAAATCGAATGAAGTTTTCATCGAAGTATTTCTAAAAGTCTCACTTAAAATATAGGAGAGAAATATTTAGATAATTGCCACCTGTTTGAAAATTCCAGTATAAATAACAAGATAAGATAAAGTAAATATTGCAATATGACTGTCAAAACAAAGAGGTTTTAAAAGGCTTACAGCTGAAAATATTTTTGTGGACGGTTGCCACCTGTTTGAATATTAAAATTTGATTTAATTGATAAGATAAATTAAATATTGCAATATCAGTATCAAACTGAGGTGGTTTAGGAAATTTTACTTCTGAAAATATTTTTGTAGCGGGTTGCCACTTATTTTAAATGTGTTATTCAGATAAAGTTATAAGACAAGATAAGTTCTGGATGGTGTACTTATCCCACGAAGTGCACGATATGTAGAACCGAGGTAGAACATTATAAATTAAATTTCCAGGATTCCAGGATACCTTCGAAAATTTATTAACTAACACCCTTATTCATAAAAAATAAAGTATGTTTCATAAATCGAAAATTTGGTTGACAATCTCACGTCATAAAGCTCTTCTAATCTACATATTTAATTTTTTACGAATGAAGCCATAAGAATTGTGGGAGGGAGCAACAACACACAATGACTGTTAAGCGCAGTGAAGCACGCCGGGTATTTGCTAGTTTTGTATAAAGTTTTAAATTTTGATTCATATGATTCTATTTCCAGCATGAAACTTATTTTTGTAAAGAAATAACAAAAATGTTAGATTACAAACCATTGCAAATATTAGGGGTATGCAGATACATATATGCAGGCAGTGTATAGACATATGTTAGTACCAATGTACATATGTTTGCTTTCACAGATATGATCTCAGATATTCAATTACCAACGCCACCCTCATCACTACATCACTCTGATTTATCCATATACAACTCAATCAAGCCAATATGAAATATCAGAATTGTGCGAAATTCAATTTGCTATTACCCCGATTGCAAAATAAAAATAAAAATAAAAATAAACGAATTTTTGTCTATATAAGAGTGTGCGAAATGAAAGTGGCAATGTGCGTAATATTTGAGCCAAATGAGTTGTCATTGCACTGCACCAAAGTTTAATATCGAGAGCTGTCAACTCTGACAGTGAAACAAGCTCACATTCATTCGCCGATAAAATTTTTGTTGGGTGTTGTGCGCTCATGTGAAAAATATGCGAGATTAAGATGTCACTTTGGCGGCAACACCAAACGAACTCAACTGGTAAATGAAGTTTTCCGCATTTAGGCATGATAACAGTGGCAAACGCCCACACACATTCAATCCTGCGGCAATACGTATACGCGTATACTCGTACTCGTACTCGTATAAGTGCAAGTGCACACGCACAGAAAGATACAACAACAAATAGCAACACACTTTAAAAAGTATTAAAGGAATATTTAAGACTCATTTGAATATGCTGTATCCTCTTTTTTGCTAAAAACAATTTTTTAAAGCGTTTTTTATTGTTTTTCTACCGCACTCGATTCATTTGTATCTCTATCACTTTCTCACATTATCCTTTCTAGCATTGGTTCCATTGTACAAAGTCGTCAATCAAAATTGTGGCTACAATTCGACTCCATTTTCCGTTTCACCGAGGAGTACAAACGCCACGACAGCTATATTAAGACATTGCATGGTTTCTCGAATCGTGTGATACGCGAACGCAAAGCTGAACTAGCAGAGAATATACTCAACAATAATGTCGCCAACTCATCCGACGCTTATGATGATTTAGGCAAGAAGAAGCGTCTCGCTTTCTTAGATCTACTTATTAATGCTTCGAAAGATGGTACTGTGCTGTCGAATGAGGATATACGCGAAGAAGTCGACACATTCATGTTTGAAGGACACGACACCACATCGGCGGCTATATCATGGACACTATTCCTGCTCGGCTCTTATCCTGAATATCAGGAACGTGTGGTGGAAGAGCTGCATGCCATTTTCGGCGATGATAAAGAGACACCAGCTACCATGCAGAATCTAATGGATATGCGTTATTTGGAGTGCTGTATCAAAGATGCGCTACGCTTGTTCCCCAGTGTGCCAATGATGGCGCGCTCCATTGGCGAGGATGTGAAAATTGGTAAGTTGACTCAAATATGTATATATGTACATAAGTGCTTGCTTCATTTTTCGTTGTTTTCTGCTAGGTAACTACTTGGTTCCCGCTGGCACTACGGCAATCATTGTGACCTACATGCTGCATCGCAATCCCAAAGTATTTCCCAAGCCAGAACAATTCAATCCAGATAATTTTCTGCCTGAGAATTGTGCTGGCCGCCATCCCTTCGCCTATATACCTTTCAGCGCTGGTCCGCGTAATTGTATAGGTCAGAAATTCGCCATACTCGAAGAGAAAGCGGTATTGTCAACGATATTGAGGAAATATAAAATCGAATCCATCGATCGTCGCGAAGATCTTACTCTGTTGGGTGAGTTGATTTTGAGACCGAAGGATGGCCTACGCGTGAAAATAACGAAGCGTCCATGAAAAGGAAAGCAGATCAAGCGAATTTTGCGTATACAAAAGCATAGCATTAAATACGATTTAAGTATTGTTTTATGTATTTGTAAGTAGCTTTAGGAATTACCTTAAGCCCCGATGAATTTATTTTAAATTCTCAAACGCAAAAATTGCCTCCCGAGCAACGGGATTTTAGTTTAACTTAAGTTTGAATGAAAGGTAGGGAGGAGTCGATCCGGGTACATTTTGTGTAGTAAAACGCTTTCGGAAAATTTTTTTTTTAAATTGTAATACATACATATATGTAGCGTGTAAGCCCTTTGTACCAAATATAAAGTTGTATGATTTAAAGCGTAAAATCCATTGATGTAAATAAAGATTTAGGAACTAAGATATTTAATTTTCAATCATATGTACATACAATACAATTTAATACAACACAAACATATGTACATATATATGTAAACACGAACATAAGAGAATATATTATGTAACAAAGAAATTTGTCGGCTATTGATTTAGAAACGTATCCAAAAGGGTACAACTGGATTAAGTTATTTTTTGTACTTTAATCGTTGAACAGATGGAGTTAGTCCTTGTTCGAAGACATTCGCGTTTTTGCGATGCGAGGTAGGGCATTTCTATATTCAAATAACGACATGTATTTTCAATTTGATTAGTAGACAAATCGATTTTAGCCCTTTGGTCACATTCAGTGTCATATTTTTTTCTAGGAAACAATTTTGGACAGGAGACGGTGTAAGTTCGTTCCAAATTCATCATTTTTTCACTCTGTCCAAAAACTTGAATACGTATAAAGTTCATGCGCAGCTTATTCGTCCAAACTCTGTTTAGTTGTACAGCTAGAGCTTTTGGTAATAGACAGGCTAGTTGTAAATGTCGCGATAGTGGTTATATCCATGCTAATGCATAAAAGTAAGGACAGCACCCAAACGCCACAAACTTTTATTGACTAAAATTTTTAGCAAACTCAGCAAACATTTGAGCTCATGTTAAAAATATGGGGAAGCAAGTTTTGCCTGTGCCTTTGCAACAAATTTGCAAAGCCAAGTGCTCTTAAAAAAATAGTAAAATTTTTGAAAAAGTTGTAAAATAAAACTGTAAAATCATCCGTATATAATGCATATTTTTCATTTGACTGCAATTAAGTAATTTTTGTGCTTTAATTCGGTGCCTGTGCTTAACCACATGTACATCAAAAACTAAAAATAAAAACATAAACAGTTTTTCTAATAGCAGGCAATGGCAAACCTCCGAGTATATTTCTGCCACGAAAAACAGCTTCTCATAAAACTACAATCGCCGTTCGGAGTCGGCAGAAAACTGTAGGTCCCTACCCTTTGTGTGACAACATCACTGCGCACGCCACAAATCGGAAGAGAAGCTGGGAGAAAAACTAACAAATGTGTAAGCGCCGATCTATCTATTGTATCTATCTGTACCGTTCGCCCGATTTTCAAAAATGAGATGTCAAATTAAAGCGCTTGGTCTCTATATCGTTTTTAGAAAAGAACTGCCACCCGTTGAAAAATTAAACTTAAATCACTAATCAATGCCATAATGGTTGCACCGTTCGATCGACCTTCCGAAGTGAGGTGTAATATTAAAGGGCTTGGACTGTAGATGTGCAATAAGGTTTTACTTTCTTGAAAAGAGTTGCCACCTTTTAAAAAACTACATTCAAATTACTTTAAAAAATAAATTGTGTTTAAAAGCTTTGATTCTTAGCTGAACTATAGCAGGGCTGCCACCTGTTTAAAAAAATCATAGTAGGTAAGAGAAACATGTATCACGATATGAGGGCCAAAGAAGAGGGATTTCAGAATGTAGTACTTTGAAAATATTTTGAAGGGGGTTGCCACTTGCTTGAAATTTCGAATTTAGTTTACTTGTACGCCAGTTATATGAAATATCTAAATATAGAGGAGTGTTACGAAGTCTTCAGTTTGAACGCTAAGAATATTTTTGAGGTGTCGCTAGAGGGTTTCCACCTGTTTAAACAGTGAAATTCAAATTATTTAGTGAGTTAAATAAATTAATAAAATATCAAAGGGTGTTTTTAAATTTTTTATTTCTGAACCGTGTTTAGCGGAGTTGCCACATGTTTGATTAATCAAATTCCACTTAGTTCATCAAATTTATTAAAACATATATCGCAATGTCCGGCGAAAAGGAGTTAACAAGGATTAAGCTTGAAAATAGTTTTGAAGAGGGCTGCCACCTGTATGAAACGTTTTATTTCTTTATTATTATTATTTCTTTATTTCTTTATTATTTCTTTATTTAATTATAAGTCTTTTGAATACAATCCTTACAGACTATGTACTTAACTAATTTATAGATTACAAACTAATTTTGTGCATAAATCAAACCACTTATAANCCTCACTAGTTATTATTATTATGGTCGACCATGCCACTTCCATAAACTTTTTTAACAACTAGCACTAATACTACATAGACTCAGAAAAAAAGCATTTCCTTAAAACAAGAATTCAGTTACTGTTTTTTCCTTAATATTACGAAACATTTACTCAATTTGAGAAGTTGTTCCTTAAATCATGTTCATGCTCAAAACAGTGCGTCATTAATTTGAGGAAGTANTTAAGTTTTTGAAATTCAATTTTGAGCGTGTTAATGCCATGCGGGCTCACTAGTTATTATTATTATGGTCGACCATGCCACTTCCATAAACTTTTTTAACAACTAGCACTAAATACTACATAGACTCAGAAAAAAAGCATTTCCTTAAAACAAGAAACCAGTTACTGTTTTTTCCTTAATATTACGAAACATTTACTCAATTTGAGAAGTTGTTCCTTAAATCATGTTCATGCTCAAAACAGTGCGTCATTAATTTGAGGAAGTACCTAAATTTACTACATATAAGTAATAATTTCCTGTTAAGGCAAAGTTAATTACTTTCCTGGCAAATGTCGGCTGTGGTGTCGCGTGAATACGTCTGCTTCTGGTTCTAAAATCACAAGTTCGAGTCCGGTTGGTGGTGGTTAAATTAAAGTAAGTAAGTTAATTGTTTCAATTTTCTGTAGCCAAATTCAGTTCCTAATGCCCGGTCAAAATCGGATTTTTTATCCGCTAAGCGTTGACGCCGCGTTATATCAGTATGGTTCATACAAATTGTATGGGTATGAGATATTTTTTACAGCCAGACAACGCTGACGCTTTTGTTTAGCTGTAGGGAATTTTGTTTCCTTAAACTGTGTCTAAATCGTTAACTCATATTAGGGCAGCCATGTCTTTGGCGCAATTTCAAGGTAATATTTTCTTAGAATAAGATATTTTTTTCCTAGCATCAAGGAATTTTTTCTGAGTGTCGTAACTACAAGTAGTTTAAGCAACTTTAATAGAAAACTTAGAAATTTCCGTGTGTGGTTACTTGCTCAAAGGTGCCGCTTTTAATGCACCAAATCGTGGTTTTATTTTTTGAAAAAAAAAATACAATCATGAACATAAAGAAGTTTGATCTTCACTTCACGGAGTTCTTCCGCAATTGCTTAAATTCTTCTAATATTTCTCGGAATTGGCACGATCCTTATCGAAGGTATGACGAAGGTACGATCGTCGCTCGTTAAGACTGTAACTATACCGAATTACGAGGCGATCACGTCTGTGAATCCGAAATATGGAGTTTTATGTTCACACTTTCAAGAACAAACCAATGTATGTACCTACATGTACACACGGGTCATGTACTTGAAAGATCAAAGCCATCATTCATTTGCCACCTCTGTTAAGAGAGAAATTTCCTAAAAGTATGCTACATAATTAGCATGCTACCGACATGATCTTTTGATCTTCTAAAATCAATGAGCTTCAAACCTAACATCAAAGCAAACACTTTTACGTACATATGGACATACGTACATATTAAAAATTAAAACTTGATAATAAACAAATGAGCTTTAAGAAAAAGACATAAGGAATTTTCTTCTGATTTTTAGAATATATACTATTTTAGTAAGGGCATACTACTACTGTGGTTGAAACTTAGTTTAATGCTCGAGCTAGATAGCTAAAACTAAGGTAAGCCAACCAAAGGTCAGCCAGCGGTTAAATACGAGTGCAGTTTACGTGATCTAAGTTTAAACTCATCTGTTTTCATCGTTCGTTCAGGATATACCTCTTGAGCCGCTCTTTTAAAGTTAAAAGTCAAATTTTACTATGTCTAATTTATTGAAATATTTTTAGGGGAATGTCTTGATAAATACATTTCCAAAATGTTCTTTAAGTCCTTTTGCAATGTTGACGATGATATACATTGTATATGTACATATGTATGTATGTACATTAGACTGCGCCTTATTTTGCAACTTTGTCCTACAAAGCAAGACTCCAGGACCCCCAGGAAGGTTCAATTGGTCATAAAAACATGAAGTGCGAGAAATTTTTAAAATCGAATAACGGAAAGACGTGCCTCAAAGGTCCTAAGGTTCAGCAAACTCATGGAAGTTTTCACAAAGCGGTCAAAATGGCCTATAAGTCAGTGGGAAATTTAATATGTTTTTAATGCAACTTGATGTAGTTTTGTCCACCGATGTCCAAAATGCATACATATTTTTAAAAGTCCCCAACTTTTAAAGTTATTGAGGTTTTCCCACGTAAAATTAAATTTTTTCTAGGTTTTGAGAAGTGAATTTTCAGCCCAGTAAACTTAGATCAAATTGGTATGAAGAAAAAAAAATTGTAGTAGCGAAATTTTGATGCAGTTTACTTTTATTTGACACATGGGCCATGGACCTACAGTCTTGCCCCTAAATTTCTTACGGGAATATTCCGCCATGTTGGATTTTAGGCTTCGTTACTAAAAATTTTTTTCTTCGTATCAATTTGATATAAATTTACTCGGCTAAAATTTAACTTCTCATATCCTAGAAAATTGTAACTTATTATTGTAGTCATATTTAACAAAGGGGGAGTTTTGCTTTGTAGTTAAACAAATTTTTCTCCATACAACTAATGCCCAGTCTAATTTACATATATGCATGTATGTATGAAGCTAAGTGCATATACATACATACGTTTATATTTATTCGTTATGTTTATTAGTAAATATTGAAAATGGAATCACCATAAAAAGGGTGCATTCGTTCTCTGCAATTGCTAGTGTTTGGCGCCTACGCTTGTCGAAATGACTAAATATGTACTCAGGATCGATAATGTCAATAACAAAAACTACTATCGGGACGGTGATTGGTTTCTGTGGCGCCACTGCAGTAATGGCGCCATTGCGATATCTTACATTAGAAGCTATATATTTCGCGAATCACAGGCGAGAAAGAAAAAGCACAACTAGTAGTGTATCTAAACATTGCATTTACCTACTGACATATAAAAATAATCGC